GGTGCGGTGAAGAAGCCTGTAGTTGCAACTGGTAAGTCATTGTTGAAGAGAGTGTCACAGACAACAACGCAGTTAGTGCAGGAGAAGAGAGTTACAGTTTCAGAGTGCAGTTCTGACTCCATAAGTTTACAAGGTATTACTAGTCAGAGTGAAGATATAAAACCTTTAAGGATCTGTGAGGGGGAGCCCAAATCATCTACTACTGTTATTAAAGAGTCCGAAAATGATGAAATTGACGGTAAAGTGAATATTTGTGATAATGATCATGATAATGCAGATTTGTCTTCGGTTGATCAGGATGAGATGAGGGATATGCCTACTACTGCTAAGTTGAACAAAGGTTTTGTACAAAGTGAACGTGAACTAGAGTTAAAGGAGATGGAGTTACAGAAGGTATGGATACTCGTGAGACCGTTAGTGTAATTGATCAGCGTGTAGCCCACCTATCATCAGATGCTAGTGCCAAACCGTAGCTAATAGTAAAAGACAGCAGTAGTTGTAGTCTTGCAGTTAGACAACTATCTGAAAGCCAAACAAGAACAGCTTCTGATTCACCGCTAAGTTCATCAACTGGTATCAGTCAGTCATCGTTGGTGTTGTCATCCACAATGAAAAAGACGCCCATCAACTCAAGTATCTTGTACTACGACTATGCTAGTATTAGCCCGTTTGAAAAGACGAAAGATATTGGTCAGTTTAGTGAGGATAAGCCAACTGTGTACGAGAGGGTAACTGTTAAACTGGTTTGCGGAGGTAAAGGCCTTTCAAGATTCAAGTTACTATTTGAATGATATTATCTTTGGTGTAAATTACTCCGTTTCTACGCTTGGTTGGTCAGATACGTAGTGTGTTTTTAGTCTTGTATACTCTACGATACAGTGATACGGGCGGGTCACCGTTCAGAGATGCGGATATAGATGATAGACGGAGGTCATCAAATGAACTCTGAGACGATTTTCCAACCTAGGGCGTCAACCTGAGAAGGGTTGTAGGCGTACTGCTGTAGGTCCTACAGTTCTTCAAAGGGTAGCTCATCAATGAGTAGCCCAACCTGCTCGGTGTGTGATTTTGTGCATATGTTCATATTGTATATACTGAATTGGTATCATCTTTCATCTATCTGTTAGTAGTTTTGTTTGTGTCCGGACGACTTCCACTTGGATCATCAACCTGAGAAGGAATGTAGGCGTACTGCTGTAAGTCCTACAGTTCTTCAGCATAGTTCGCCAAGCTAGAATCCACAACAATTTATGTATTGATTGTACATATGTTGGTGTTAAATAATTGTGTGCGTTCCAATTATTGTAATTATTCATTAATCCTGTTTTTGTCCGGACATTCTGCAACTTACAATCATCAACCTGAAAAGGGTTGCAGGCGTACTGGTGTAAGTCCTGCGATTCTTCAAAGGAATTCCACCAAGAGATGTTCGGCGAGGTTGTTTGTACTATTTGTATATACGTGTGGTGTGTCATCAATTGGTATATTTTGGATTCATTGTGTTTACTCGTTGTTTTCGTGTCTTGTTGTTATTGCGTAAATTTGTTAAAATTTTCGTCGTGATTATTTCTGAAGTTGTTTCGAGTCTTCTACATCCGTGAATGAATTGACTGATGTTAAAGAGAGCAGATAGGTCGCATACGCCGGGGAGGCTAGGCTATTGCTGAGAATGAAATGCATGCGGAGATAATTGTTAGCTGCGGTCCGACACGCCGGGGAGAAAGAGTGTAAACGACTGAGGCTCGCATGCGTCACCGTTACTAGAACTGAGGCAGAATGAGTGACAAGCGATTTCAGTGGTAATTGGTAGTGAATAGAAAAGAGGATGCTTGAAGAGTATCATGAGGTGGTGCTATGGTCACGTTGCATTCTGCAAGAGTCATTCTAGCAAGTGGTGATTATGTTGCAAGATGTCAAGAGGAGGTCTCTGTCTGGAGGCGTGGGTCGTTATTGATGTGTGAGATTGTGCTGTGGGTATGCTTGTGGTGTGTTGGCTTTTCTGTTTGTTTTCCATTTCAGCTCTGTCCGTGTGACCCAGGTTCTCGCAATGGCATCCAAGTCAACGTGTATTGGTCGTGAAGGAAAAAAGGGTTGGATCCCTTTTTTGCCGGGGAGTGTTAATGGAGTTGAAGATTGAACGATCAATTCATGGTTGTTTGCTCAAATCCAACTCCTCCATAATTTCGCGTGTCATCAATCCGGCAGTCATCGTCTCATCGCCCGCTGTTCAGTGGAAGAGAGAAAACTACCAGAAGTATTATCGTGATTTATTGTTATAACATTTATTCTTAGACCTTGTGTGTAATAACCTTGTTGTTGGTTATATGTCCGCGTTAGAATAAAGAATTCTTGATTCGCCTAACTCTGTTTTGGTTTTTTGCGTCAGTTAATACAAAGCGTTTTTGAAAATCTTTGAGGGACAGCGTAAGGCCCAGCGTAGCAAGGGTCGGACATTGATGGTTTATGAGACTTGACTAACAGTGGCAGGTTCAGAAGTCCTTTAAAGTGTCCAGTACATTTTTTGGCTTGTAACTCCTCCGTGGTAATTAAGTTCCCTTGAAAATCATTTATAGGCTTCATCCTTGTTGATCTTTTCCTGGATACACACTTGGCTATATGATATTATGTTCTGAAATCCCTGAATCCGCTGCTCGCCTGTTCTGCTTCGGTTACCAGCCACTGTATGGTACGATTGTATATTGTCTTTTCCGGCACTTTTCTTCGCTCCTCTATTATAATGTATATTTCGTATAAACGGGTAAGCTTACATGAAACGCATGCCACGTTTACAATTAAGGTCGGTGAGGTGTACACTGAACTTAGCTTCTCCCTCTGTTCTCCATCTTTGCATTGGTTCATCTCCTGCTTTACCACGTCCTCTGCTATGTTGCCTCTCAAATATTCGTCAAAAGCCATTCCTTGTCTTGCCTTTTCATTGTCCCAAAATTGGCTGTGCACGTTTCCCTGAATATCATTTTCAGAGTGTCTTAATGTTCTTCCACGTCGGTCTCCTCAGTAGTGTAATAGTGCCTCCGACTGTGCACTGACATATGCAGAGGGGATATCTGTGGTAGTCCCGTCTCCCAGTTTCCGAGTGTTAAACTCGAATCATTGTCCTGTATTCAGTTGTTTCAAAGGATTGCAGTTTGATCTTGAAGGTTCGTCGGACTAGATGAGATCCTGAGCATATGTATGCCCACTATTCATAAATTTGTGTCCAGCAGGCTGCGTCTTCCCTCTCTTCAGTAACATTGAGGCGAAGTCCCTCTGATTTGCAGTGTGTCGTCAGATGAAATCCAAGTTGCCTTGTGTGCATCCTTGTGTTTGCAGGCATTGTCTCCAATCGCCAAATTGTTGGAGGCGCCGACATATGAAAAATTCTCTCCGTTCCCATTCATTTCTCCAGGATTCTCTTGACACATGATGAGTTCTGTTCCCGTTTCGTCTGGTCCCAGTTAAGCATTCACACCGTCCATAAGGATTTTGGTGCCACCATCTGGCTTGCTCTCCACTACTGTTTGTAGCCTCCCACATAAACATTCCTTCTTCTCTTGTTCTGAGTTGCCCGGTAGCGAGTGGCAATGGATAACCGTAACTTCTTTTCCTTTTAAGTGGAGTCTTAATTTCATATTCCCAGGGGAAATCGGTACCTACCGCATGATAGATTTAGCTGCTGTTGTTGACACAGTGATAGCCTCTCCATCACTGCGCTGGTGGTTTTTATCTGGGTGGCCTAAGTAGGTTAGTGATTCTACGGATTTCAGTTTGGCTAGTCCACATCAATCCACCCGCTTTCCAATATTCCCAGAACTTCTGTGGCGCGATTCGTCATTTTTTGGGGGACATGGACAGCCTTCCCAGCCTTGCACAGTGAACGGACATCTAACGCCTCCATTCTTATTCTTGCTTTCATTGAAGGGATATGCATGTACTGACTTCCCGGGCACTTCACCAGCCTGCTTCATTTCAACCATCCAATTTCAGGGAATAGATGAGACAGTTTTCACAGCTTTTCTGTTGTTAATATTTTTCACGTGCCTTGAAGTCAATGCAGCACTTTGATTAGTTACGTGTGGTAGGGCCGCTGGCTCCACGATCATCCCACCTCTTTACCTGGGCTTGGCACCGGTTAGAAAAATAACGAGCTAATTAACTTGGCAAGATAACAGATGACGAATATCAATGACTCAGATATTGTGAAATTTGTTCTAAATAGTGGCGTATTTAAATGTGATACAGGTTGGCGTTGCTCAAGGAAGAGGCTATCGGACTAATCTGGCCAACATGGGTGAGCTAGGCAGTGTGGATATGCGAGACAACCAGAAAGGAAAGTGTAAAACGCAGCCTCGTCGGATGTGTGCCTGTTATAACAAATGTCAAAACAGCTTGAGAGTCCAAACGCGAGCTAGAAGTTAGTTCGGTTAATACTAAGTCGATGCGGTTTATTATGTTTGCTCTAACTATAGTGTTAATTTGACTCAGACATCTGAACCATAATCTCAACTTACACCCTCTGAAATTTGCCGATTCAGTGGCTGTATGTTAGTGATGTTTCCTACAGTATATCATCTCTCACGCCATATCCAGACACATGGATAGTACATAGAAAATAGAATCGTGTATCACCACTAAACTCTCAGTGTAATATGAATCCTGCGTGAATATCCGAGTGCAACACACTGGAGTGCAGGTTTGTGAACACTTCACCGCATGCTGTATTCTGGAATATTCCTACATTCTAAACCAGTAGTAGTTGTAGGTACATAGGGAAATGAATATTGCAACTAGTCTGTTTTCTTCTTTCTTTTCCCAAATCTCAGGCAGTTAATCCGACAAATTTCAAAACGTCATAGGCATCTCAACGTCACAAACTCTAAACACACACGAATCCCAGTTTTCGTTTTCTGTTGTACGAGTTTGTTTGTTTGTATAGGCAATGAGTTAACTACCGGTTGCGCTCCTTTTTCGTCAGTAAAAGTTGTAAGGTATGGTAAGTTTGGCGGTTTTCTAATGTTCAAACTATGCTTGTCTACTTTCAGGTTGGCTGCGAAGTATACAGGGATTGGTTACCCAAGACGAGGCAACGGATGACCAATAGGAGTGCCCCTTCCCTCTTATCTAATTGTATTGCGATTGGTTGTAAATATAATACTTGACCTTGAATCTTCGTTCTTACTAGCACGCAACACTTGTGTGATCACGCTGCTAACGTGCGCTTTGCTCTCTGTTTCAGACCATTGCTTGACGAGCGGGATTACAAAGTCCAAATGTCGGTTGAGGGATATCCCCGGATGAGTGTCCTTTCTGACTTCGACATTGGGAAGAAGCTTGGTCGTGGGAAGTTCGGGACTGTTTTCTTAGCCAGAAAGAAAACATCACACTTTCCGTGTGCAATAAAAGTATGCTTCTTCAGGCGTAACCAATTTTTCAGGTTATTTTCAAGAAGCAAATAGTGAGATGCAAGATGGAGCACCAGATACAACGTGAAATTGAAATCATGTGCCACTTGCAGCATCCTAACATTCTACAACTATATACTTACTTTCATGACCACAAGCGGATATATTTGGTTCTGGAGTATGCTTTTAATGGACAGATGTTTAATGAGCTTCGAAGACTGAGACGCTTTAGTGAGACACGTTCGGCTACTGTATGTTCTGCTTTTGCTGTTATTCTCTCAGTATATTTACCAGCTCTGTGATGCTTTGATGTACTGCCACAAAAGGAAAGTGATTCACCGTGACATAAAGCCTGAGAACTTGCTCTTGGGTTTGTATCAGGAGCTTAAACTGGCAGACTTTGGATGGGCAGTACATGCTCCATCATTGAGGTCAGTATGAGTTAATATGATCCTACTGTTTTATAAATATGTGGTATGGTAGGATGTTTGTAGATTGTATACTTTGTTAGCGAAGCCAGTTAATATTGTGCTTGTTGTCGTTGACTCAAAATTTGTGCCCAAGGTGATGAAAACTTTGGTCTAGGTTTCTGTTTGAGCTTGTGGTTTCAAGTGTAATACTTCCGCCTTATTCCATTCTACCAAAACACATGGTAAGTGTAGTGAAGAGTGTATCTTATGAAATTGGGATTGGCTCTGATCCTAAAGATTCGGACATGATCAAAGTTTGCAAAAATTAACTCCCCCCGCTTTGTCCACTGTAGTTGTGTAATCGGTCTCACCAGTGTCTGAGCACTGGATGAATACTACATCAGAGCAATGACTGTTGGTAATATCTCTTCTATCGATACTATTGATACTGGCGCGCTCCTTGAATACGACGTGCTTTTTCCTCTCCAACCGGAAAATACCAATTCTGTGAATTATCCGTTTGGGAAACCTGATCTTCCTAGCCGGTGAATTTAATTCAACCATTACTTACATAGTAAATCTCTGTGTGGTAAGTCCAGCTGTCTCGAACTACTGCCAAAGCTTCAGGTGCTACTTTTGTAGCAGCATCTTCCTCACTCGTTCAGAGAAACAAGACTTGTTGGTCTACCACGTGATTGCCGTGAAGCCGATCATTCAGAAAGTACTAGGTAAAGTCGAAAACCTTTTCTTTTCCTTGCCTTACACTTTTTCAGTCTTATTCTTGCTCTTTTGGTTAGAAACTGTTGCTCTCTTAGACGTACATAGCATAATTTATAGTGATTGTTAATATGGTTGTTGAAAGCAGCCTTAAAAAAGCCACTAGAATACCGTACTCTGTAGTCACAAGGGCTTCAGCCAGGGAAGGAAAAAATCCAGGGATTTCAACCCCTTCCCGCATACCGATCCTAAAGACTCGTGTAGCTTTAGTCTGCCCTGATACAACGCCTGCATTGCCACAGTCTAGTACTGAAACGGCACAGGCAATACCAGAAGGACAGAATTCTACACCTGCATCAACTGTAGGCCAGTGTGTGAAACACATCAAGCCTAAAAGGAAACGTTCAAGACGTCATAAGACCTCGAAGGCGTCATCAAGGAAAGGGGATGAATGCCAGGCGTGCAGCATCACAGTTTCTAAAACTGATTCAGCGTTTGAATGTAATTTTTGCAAACGATGGGTGCACTGCCGTTGTGACAAAGAAGTACCGAAAGCATACTATGAGTTTATGAGAAATAACCCATGCCCATGGTTTTGGTACGTGTGTCCACTTTGTCGCCCTGGCATAGTCCCACAAAGCGTGTCTGCGGATAGCAGAAATAACATGCTCTTGTGCCCCAACACAGTATCATGCAGCTCCCCCCTGCTAAACTCGCACTGCCGAAACTGGTCAAAGACTTAAAGAAGGACACACCAGCCCTACTGACTGGAAATGCCAATTCTCACAAGGTGAAGATTAGCAAGGTTCCATCCACATCAGGGGAGGGCAAAATTACAAAGGCACCACTTGCATCCACTAGCAAGCCTGGCAACACAAAAAAGGCTGTCCAGGTACCGACGAAGCCTAATGTTGCTAATGATGCAAAGGACTGCAAGAAGCCGAAGGCAAAACCTAAGTCTGAGGGTAGTCGGTCTAACTCTCTCATCCTCTTTAACGTACCTGTGAGCACGGATAGCTTGCTCGAACAACGGGCCCTGTTTGATCAGGAACAGTGGTCCAACCTGTGTGGCAAACTAGGTCTGAACATTAGTTCAGCAAAACTGTGCAGACTGTACAGGGGTGTCCACACGCCTCAGGGTAAGCCACCCCCATTACGGGTTACACTGGACTCTGCCGAAGAGGCCGAAAAAGTACTGTTAATGGCTCAGGTACTAGCCCTGGACAGAAGTTCTAACATAAGAGCGCGGCAAGATAGACCATGGGCCGTCAGAAATATGGCGAGGGAGTCACCGGAACTGATGCCTTCCACCTCTATGGTGGTACACGGTGTTCCGGAGCTGGAAACCGGCACTGCTTGTGAAAAACACATGCACGACGTACAACAATGGAGATGGCTGTCATCTCAGATGGCCCCTGGCGCTTCTGGAGCCATCTCCATTTTCCGACTACCTCGTCCCGCTCATCTAACATTGATTAACTCTCCAAAGCTGCTGTGTGTCACATTCAACTCCCCGGAGCAGTTGTCCATATCACTTCAACGGTGGTATGAGACCAAGGGAAAAATTGGAGGACACATCCGATGCTGTGAAAGCAGACCCAGAAATATAAGGAGGCAGCAAACTGAGGCTTTAATACGACCCCAAGCTTCGGTGACACTAGAGCGATGCAGCTCTGAGAATAATAGTCTGTGTCTCCCAAGTGTCCTGCCTAAATCCATTGAAAAAAACTACAACGGGCCGGTTCTATCGGAATCGGCCAACTAGTTCCAACATCAAGTCCCCCACCAGCAGACGGTTTCACGTCAACTACCCCACAACACTCTGAGGTTGTTAGACTCACTGTCAGTTGCCTATATAGCAATGTGAGGGGGCTGAGAGGGAAAGTAGGTGAACTTCGAAATCTCCAAGCACACCTTCAACTGAAAATAATCATTCTTACTGAAACGTGGCTAAACCCCACTATCGCCGACAATGAAATCAGTATAGGTGATATGGTACTGGTCAGGAGAGACAGGGATAATAAGGAAGGAGGGGGAGTTGCTATATACTTTGATAGGCAACTTAAATGTGTGCGCGCAACGGACCCACCACTTATCGAACTCCCAGACTCCATATGGTGTCATTTCACCGTAGGCCACACCAAGCACTTACTGGGTGGCATCTACCGATCTCCCACCTGTGGGGCAGAGCACAATCAGCTACTGCTCAGCACTATCACAGGAATACGAGATTTGGGCTACGACCAAATCACCATAGCTGGAGATTTCAATGCTCCATCACTGAACCTTGGCTCCGGGTGTGCTAAGGGAAAATTTGGCCGAAACCTACTGCAAACTATTCGAAACACGGGACTGACTGAGAATGTTGGAGACGACACTAGGTGGGGCCCTAGTGGAAAGTCATCAAAACTAGATTATATTCTAACTAGTGACCAGCTACTCGTCGAAAAGGTCCAGATCATGACTCCTCTGGGAAGCAGTGACCATGCAGTCATAGGTTTCGATCTTGTCCTCCGTGAGCGTTTGCAATGGGATGTTACGCGACCATGTCTGTGCTACAGCAAGGCTGACTATGCTGAAATGCGGAGGCTCTTGTCCGACGCAGACTGGCCCTTAGCATGGGACGACCTATCTGTGGATGAACACTGGGAAGTGGTAAAAAAGATTATCCATGCAGCAATCTCGGATACCGTCCCTTTAGTCACAACACAGCCTAAGAGAAAGACGTCATGGTTGAAGAGAGGCACGCAACGTATTCTGCAAGCAAAGCGGAGGGCTTGGTTTACGTGGCGTGTATCTAAGAGTCAGACCGACCATGATGCATACCTCGAACTCAGGAACCGGTGTAATGCAAGAGTTAGGAGGGACAGAAGGTCATTCCAGGCTAACCTTGCTAAAAAACTCCTATCAAACCCTAAAAACTTGTACCGATTCATGTCGGAAAGAAAACCGACAAACCAAGGGGCATGCGCCTTAGTAGGCCCAAACGGTCAATATCTCACTAGTCTGGAGATGGCTGAAACATTCAGTTCAGCCTTCGCTAAACAGCTAAACAGCAATGTGGATATTACAGTTACGGACCAAAATGGTGGCACCACTATTTCAGAGGAGGAAGACCTAGCGACTACTCCCCAAATAAACCCCGCAATAGTACTAAGGAAGCTACAGCGACTCATACCTGGGAAGTCCCCAGGTTGTGATGACATCAGGCCATCTGTTCTGAAACAGTGCGCCGAGGCTCTCTGTAGACCCCTGTGCGACTTGTTCCAACACTCAATGGATTCGGGGACCCTGCCAAGGGAGTGGAAAAGAGCCATCCTTTCTCCAATCTTCAAGGGTGGGGACAGGCAAAACGCTGCTAGCTATAGACCAGTAGCTCTACTCCCAGTGGTATCAAAAGTACTGGAAAGTATTATTGACGACCACATCAGGGAATATTTCGATAGGACTAATATACTGCATGAAGCCCAACATGGTTTCAGAAAAGGCAGATCCTGCGTCACTAACCTACTGTCAGCTTGGGACGACTGGACATCATGCTGGGACTTGAACGTACCAGTCCATGTGGTCTTCCTAGACTTTGAGAAGGCATTTGACACTGTTCACCATGACCTTCTCCTACATAAAATAAGCCAGGCAGGCATAGGTGAGCCACTTCTGTCATGGTTGAAGGACTACCTAGCCGACAGGCAATTTTGCACTAAGGTTAACCGAGTCCGATCATCTTGGCACAGATCGTCATCAGGAGTGTCGCAGGGTTCTATCCTAGGACCACTGATGTTTTTGATTTTCATCAATGATCTACCACGCCGTCTGAGCTGCCCGACTCTCCTGTACGCTGACGACGTAAAAATATGGAGGGCGATAAAGTGTCCGGAGGACTCAGATAGGCTACAGGAAGACCTAAACCTTCTGGAAGACTGGGCGGTGGCCAGTGGCATGACTTTCAACTTGAAAAAGTGCAAAGTAGTGAAGTTGCGCACCTGTAGACTGCAGAATGCAAGTTACACCCTGTGCAATGAAAGCTTGTCCTGCACAACGTCGGAACGCGACTTAGGTCTAGTTCTAACGGAAAAAATGGACACAAGCGTAAATTACACAGGGGATGTAGCGAGGGCATATGCGGTCATACACTTTACGCATAGACAGTTAGGTGCACTCACTCCTGAGCTCTTTCTAATGTTGTACAAAACATACGTCAGGCCACACCTTGAGGTGCATAATATTATTGCACCCCCAATGCTGAGAAGAGATGCCAACCTCTTGGAAAGAGTCCAACGACGGGCAACAAAAGGAGTGGTTGGTCTCCGAAACAAACCATATGATGAAAGGCTGAAGAAATTAGGCCTGTTCACACTTAGTTACCGTCGGCTTAGGGGGGATTTGATTACTGCCTACAAAATAACAAATGACCAGAATCACCCAAACAAAGGTGTTCTGCCATTGAGTAGGTATAGGCTTCCACGTGGAAATCCCAGAAGGATAGCTCACCAGAGGGCAAGGACCCGGGTGCGCTCCCACTTCTTTTCACTGCGGGTTTGTCGTCCCTGGAATTCCTTACCGGCAGATGTAGCTATGGCACCGTCTTTGGACGCCTTTAAGCGAAGGCTGGACAACCATGCAGCGATACAAGGACTGCATCCAAATGGCCTATCTCCTTAAAATCGCATTTACCAATCAGGGTAGATAATTAAACTCGTCATTTTACTTCTTTACATTCTCTCCCGTCTTACTCTCCTGACAACTTATTAATATTATAATTACTATTATTATTATTACTATTACCGATATATATATTATTCTTCAAACTTCATGAGCTGACTGTTGTTACGTTTCCTATTTTCGTTTCTGTCTCTTAGTCTGAATAGCTTCACTAATTATATCTATTATTATTATTATTACTATTTATTATTATTACTATCTCTTTTCTCTTGTCGACAATACCGAAGGACTAACTGGCGAAAGGATCAACTCCAATCACAGTAGTAACAGTCTTAACATACCTCATACTACAAACCACATATAATTAATCCCAGCACTACTCCCTTTGGAGTCAACCAAAGCTACGACAGTCGAGTGGCGGGACAAGCTACGCAGAAGTTTACCGAAGATCAAGAACCTATACCTCACAATCAAGAAGCGAGCACAAAGAAATCAAATTGGTTTATACTAGCTCGTAAAAACGATATTGGATATTGGATATTGGAGTGAAGGTCGTCTTCCTTTCACTGGTGCGAATTGGGGGACATGGATTGATGTAGAGTTGCGTGAAGTCGAGCAACGTTTATGTGTCCGGTTATTGCCTTCTGCCTCATTAGAGTTGCAGGATGATTCTTGTATCAACATATACAATTGTGTTTAAGTGGGGGATATTATCGGATGAGAATTCGAAGTTGTTGAATTCCAAACATCTAGGACGAACCAATTCTGGATGTTGTGAAAGGCGTGGTGTTGATTTCGCTGATGTTTACTACTAAATTATCGTGGCCTCCCACAGCATGTCGCATAGAGTCCTAGTGGATTTTAAAAATGAATTTTGTCTTCGACTTAACAGCTGGGATTTTTTCATATTTTGTAGGAGAAGAACACTTTGCGGGACAATAGATTATTTGGCTCCAGAAATGGTTTGTGGGACTTCTCATGATGAACGTGTAGATCACTGGACCGTTGGTATTCTGTGTTACGAGATGCTGTGTGGCAAACCTCCATTCGAACATCCTAGTACTCAAGACACTTATGCTTGTATCAAAGCCGTGAAATATACATTCCCTTCTGAGATAACACCTTTGGCACAGGATCTGATTTCCAAGGTAATTTCTCACTGTTTTTTACTCCTTGACTACAATTTGTGAAGTCGTTGATATCCTGAATACACTAAGCAATATTTTATCACATGTGAAGGGGGTGTATATTGTGTGAGGTTTCTTGAATTTCTCTGAAGGCATGTGGATGCGAGATCGAGCTTTGAAATGTGACGTGCATTTAGTTTGTGTTTTCATCGTTGATATATTTGCTTGGTTCAGACAAAGAAAACAGATCACCTATGCAGTTAGTGAGAATCGTTACTATCTACAGGGGTACTGCCTAAAGGCAGTGTACTTGTCAGCGATGTTATGTGACTAGCTAGAAATAAACAGGTATTTTTCTTAACATAAACTGGACCCCATGTATAGAATAGTGATGGGATATTTGGAATATTGAACAAGTAAGTCGGAAGTAGCTATTCATCACCTTTTTTGTAACGTATAATCTCATGATCACTAAGAACTTCCGTGTTGAATTTCCAAATGTGCTTCTTCCTCCCCATGTACATTACTAATACTTATGATTGCTACCGTGAGTTACCAAATCTTTTTTATATCGATGTAAAGTCCGAACCTCATTTAGTGTGTAAACAAGTGCACCAGTTCGAATCTTCATGGTGGTGGCCTAGGGAATTAGTTATGTGTGTGAAGGGAAGAGAAGAGCAGATATAGCTCATGAAATGTTCCAAACTTCGGTGCTAGTTCATATGTTGCGTTATGGTTTATTTTGAATTATGCAACCGATGATGTCCACGGTGGATTCGTATGGGTGTCTGTAATTAGAACTAAGTTTAATCTACGGTAGGTTTCTGATTTTAATGGTAGACTCAGCTGGGAATCTCATTAGGTGTTGTTTCGCGAAACACCTATCTAAAGTGTACAATGCTTATTTGTTCGTTCGCCTTTCATTGCAATGAAAGTAATTCTTCTCATTCATCTGTCCAAGTATTATTTCATCAAGAAAATGAAAGACAAATTCAGGGAAGAAAATTTCCTTTATCGAGGAAGTCCATTATTTCAGTGAAGAAACATCTCCTTTCAACGGCTTAATTTTTAGTCTGTACATTCTTATTTATATTCCGAATTCTGGAGGACAGAGAACGCATAAGATTTCTCTTACCACCTAGAGGTATCCAACTGTTGAAGTTAGTATGATGACCTGTAAGTGTTGGCTTTCAGTAGATCGACTAATTTAACGTGCCATCCTCTCTTCTATCTAGCATCACATCTAAGAAGTGGGATGTGGAGTTCGGCTCATCTTCCACAGTGAAAAGCATAGATGGGTGAGAACCATTAAATCTCTCAAGAAGCTCAGCTGCTGAAGGATTTCCATCAGTACACTAACCTCAACAGTTGGGTACCTCTGGGTAGAAAGATAAATTTTATCCGTCGTCTATGCTCGAGAATTCGGAAAATTTGCTCTGCAGATACGGTCGACTCAAAATTAGAAAGCCTTCTCACAACTCGCTTAAATAATGGATATCGTAGAAGTTTTATCGACAGAAACCTCGAGAAAGAAACCATTCCTAGTCAAATCACCATGCCAAAGAAAACACTGTTTTTATGAATTTAGCTTTCAGAGGTGACAGTATTTCTGAATTGATTAAATGTTGTTTATCTAAATGTATTAAAGGGTGTTTTTATGCAGCTGACTTGCATCTAGTATTTACCAGCCAAAATATGATTCGACAATGCGTCAAGAATAAACTACCGCTTATGTCCACCTGTATGTGCATGTATACTGATTCACATGCTCGTGTGGAGCTGATTGCAGTGGACTTTGTAAGCGTAATCTCTGTAAACGCGCACCCAAACACTATCCGATTGGGTTAATGAAAGGTGAACTATGGGACGACAAAGTCCTCGATTTTTGAACACTTTCTGGAATCACGTCATTCAGCTTCACGTGATTTATCCTTTGAAGTCATGCACATGATCAAATCCAATCACTCCAAAAGCTTACGTTTTCTCTACTTATGCGCAGCCGAAGCTCCAGCTCTACATGGACAAATACCTAAATAATGTATTCCAAAACGTTTTGTCGAGCGCCATTTTTTACCTTTGTCATAGTAGTATACTTTCATTTTATTCTATTTCACCACTTGAATTCAACCAACTTCACTTCACATTCGCCGTCTTTATTGTTATCATCACCATGTTCTTAGTTTTCTGAACAATACTTGACCTACTATTTTTAGAATCTGTATACCAGTTGCCTCATTTAATAATCTTTAAGTTTTTCAATTCATCCATTTCAACTCTACTCCGTTAGTACATCATTTTAATTGTCCTTATTCTTGTCATATGTACATTGACTGAGCAATTCCGAGTGCCAGTTAATGCCATTTCCTGTAATATAACTACCAGTATACAGCTTGGAAATGAAGTCGTTAAGAAGAGATACTCCTTCGTTGAACAGAAAGACTGTTTTTCCTTATGAATGAATGGGTATATTTCAAGTATTATTTATAGCTTATAGTAGTTAGTTTCACGTTCTAAGTTGTCGTAGATTTATCTGATAGTCGTTTCTAAATGCCTTTACAGATCCTCAAACGTTATCCAACTGATCGCCTGTCCTTAGAAGGTATCATGTCTCATCCGTGGGTCCAACGTTGCGCCAATAAACAATCATTTCGTCATACTGGTACATCGAAACCGAAGCAATAACGTTTGAATTTCTATTTGATTATTTCTATGCATTTTAATATAAGTGACTTTTTTCTCATTGCCTTTAGCTTATCTTTACATTGTGTACAAGCTGACTATTATTTTCTAGTGAACCACCTGACTATACAGTTGTTTGGAATACCTCAAGTTATTATATGTTGCATAACTGGCAGTGAAATGTAATACGATTTCCGTTGTGTTTAACCTTATGCGTCATCGAGCACTTGTGTATTAATGATATGTAGAATTTACAGTTAGGAGTCTAAGTGAGTCTTTGCCCTGTATAATTTTAACTGAAGAAAGAAGTCAGATAGAAATCGTGATGAATCTCATCTTTGAATGTTATTAATTAACAGGAAGGGATTTTGCCTGCAAAATAGTCAAAGTTTAATGTCACTTGATAAAATCAGAAATCCGATGTGGTAAAATGAGAAAATTAATAAAGTAGACCTTTCCCCCCTTTAGTACTATCTCTTCCTCATACAGTTTTTGAAAATATTTTTATACAAACGAACATGTCGATGATATTCTGGAACAATTTCAACTGTCCTGTGCCTTCTTATCCGTACTACTTGGATGTTCTGTATGCTGCCTATAAATGCAAAGATATCGAAACAGATATGAATGATATCAGTGAGAGATGAGTTCTGGAGAAATACACTTTCTTCTAGTAATAATTACCACTGATCTTATTCTTCGACGTAAAGTTTTAATGGTAACAGTCTTTGGTTTGATTTCAAAGATGATGTGAGTGATGGAAACTATTGGTGAATAATTGAATATCCATTCTGTAGACTAAGTTATAGAATGAAAATCCATGTCTGTGTCGCCAGGGTCTCATTGTTGTTCTACTCAGTTTATATGAAAGGTCAGTGAGTTGATTCTTGGGTACCATGTCTTATGTTGACCACTGTGAGCTAACTCCATCCAGCAGTGCAGGTTCTTGTTGTTGTTGTTTGAGGAGAAGGAATAGGAGTATAGGTTTGTGTGGTGTATTGAAAACAACTTCACGTGTCTGGCATTAAACGATTTCTTTACTCACCACCTTTCAAGTTTGTACTTCACCTTAACAAGTTCCCGGATATCTTCTCATTACACACTTTGTACCGACAATGTGTGTGTGTGGATGATACTTATTTAGATAAATAATATAATCAGTGTGTTCAATGAATCTACTTTCACGTTAACTTGGTAAATCGATCATTTTGTCTATAGAATGTCTAGATTTTTGTGATGAGCAGATTGTATAGTGAGTGATTTTCATTTTCACACATGTGCTCGGATATTAATAAGCATTCAGTTGTTTAGTCTCAATAATTGCCGATGCTGATTAAATTACTGGAGTGATTGGAGGATTAAGTTCTTTAGGGAAGTGCATATATAGCTCACGTTTCATATGATCACAAATTGAAGAAATAAGGATTGGATACATCAGTAGAAAGAGGAGTTCGGTAGGTGAAATCATTCCCGACACTGCGACGTGTAACATACCGTAAACTGATTATCTAGTTTGTCAGTAATGTTTAGCTGACATAGTGGGATTGGGTTGGAAAAGAGCTAGTGGTGGTCAAACCAAAACATCGTATCAGTTCATGAGATCTTAAACAGTTAGTTTGAGCCACATAGGGAGGTGTGGACTTCCTGGTGAACCCTGAATCGATTTTCTGAGGGTAGACGTTTTTGTATGATGTTTTTCTAATGACTCCGCAATTCAAATGGCTGATATAGTTTGTCTGTGTATATTCCTGAAGGCAGTGTTACCGTCTGTTTGATGGGAAATTGTCGATTGACGGTGTGGGATTTCGTCACCATATAGTGTTTCGTTCATTTTCTAAATTATTACATATACTTGTGGTGATAGGGAGGTTTTATGTTGTGCATTTAATTTGATACTGGTTGGTTTTCATGAATTTCTTAAATTTGTTCAGTGACATGCATGGAATTGATTCACTGTTAACCTCATATTCTGACTCGTGAGAAGCATGTACCTTCGAATTTCACTTTAGTATTCGTTTCAGGAATAATTTTGTGTATAATCACAGATAGATTTTAGACGAGGATTGTTCCATTCGTTAGCCGCTTGAATTTCCACCTTAGTGCTGTTTATCATCGTTTTGTATCGGAGACAGTTGATTTCCTTCGTGCATTTGACACAAACTTGTTGGACTTTTTCTCTTGGCTTTTTTTCGAGAGATATGTGAATCTATTAGTTTTGTTTTTATTTCGCCCTGAAGTTCAATCGTTGCATTTGAGAGTAGAGATCTTAGTTTTCGTTAAGATTTCAGTTGTAGGTTTGCTTGACTTTAGAGAAAGTCAAGACATTCTGGAATAACCCAACCCGTACTCCTCCGATTCGTTAACTCTTGCATCCTGCCTATTGTTCTCTATTGTTCCCCCTTAGTTTTTCCAGGGCTACTGAAGAAAGATTATACCTTATTACGCAGGATGTTAAAGGTTGTCAACAGGGTATGCAATGTGCCACTTAACCAGCTTGTTAATATTCTGGTCGACAGGCACTTGGATTCATGTGAAAAAATGGGAAAATCCATTTTATCTAACTCACAACACCCTCTTCATTCACAACTCTCCCCTTGTATCTCATCAGGCAGAATCAGAAGCCTATATAGAAAACTATATGCTCGCAGTGGCAATTACAAAAACTCAACTTTATCCTACTTAACTCATGTTCTGTGCGATAAAGAAAGCATTAGGCATGATACCTATGACTTATTCAATAGTCAGTAGAACAACTGGATCTCGTCCTTCCAACTCATATCATTTATAGATACAACGTTTTCTTTCTTTCTTTTCCTTTCCTCTGTCGCTCTTTTTCTCTGTTATGTGCAGCTTTCTTTCTTTCTGCTTACGCCAGTAAATATGCTAGAACCTACTTTTCTAGCACCTTCAAACACTGTGTTCAATTTTGGCTTTGCTACCGATATGCCAATATGCTGTTGTTAAAACTAACTGAGATTACCCTTAATCTATGTAGAATTTTATTTATTGTTAATGCTATAACTGGATGCAATAATGTAGTAAAATGCTGAGAATTCCATTCTGTATCACAAGTACTGTTTTGGAATAAAGCAAATAATAATAATTATTATTATTAAAAGTCCCCAAATTTTACGGAGGTGTGATAATCTTTATACATTGAGAAAAATACAATGCTTTAGAAATGTACTTAAAGTAGTAGGTTGTTCTTTTTAGGAGGAGATATAGACACAGGTTTCCATCGGATCTGAAATTGTTACAATGCAGTTAAGTCTGGTATTTATAAACACGTGAGTGTAATAACACTTCGTAGAAGGCAAACAGAAACTATTCCACACCAATTATAATAATTATTTATTGTTCATTTGGATTTTTATTGGAAGATAGGGCTTTAGTGGCACATCTCCACTTTGTCCTATTCCTTGTAGTCGTCTAAAGCTGGCTACACGATTTCCCATGGTATCTAATCTCCTCCAAGTCACCCTCGGCCACTCCACACTCTTCGTTTCACATGCAGGTTCTAGTCGATCGATTCCCTGGCTCACAATGTCATTCAACGGTCTCCACACTAATTGAAGATGTTTAATTGGTGGTTTTAGTGTATTACAACCCATTGCATTAGTCGTCGCTTTGTATAGTAAATCTTGTTTCCGCACCATAGATATCTGAAGTAGGCGAAGCGAGGTTTGGGTATAGGGGTAATTTGTTGAGACACAAATTCTGCAGACACTGAACCACATCACTAACGATCATTTAGTGCCCGCCATACATACTATGGTTCAATGGGTAATCTTATTCTGATTATCTTACGTGTCGTACAATACAGAGTCAAAGAAATGATATATGCTCTTGCTCTATTCAGCCTTATACAGAGAGGTAAATGTGTAAAATTCATTCAGTTCAGTTATTCCTATACTACTAGTTGCACTCAGGGTATTTCAGCATGGAAACGTGTATTCATCGAATGTGAATTAAATGTTAGAGTAAGTGTCTCTGGTTAAATTCCGCTTGAGATTGATTGCACTACATACAGTACAGTAAGTATGTATGTATCAATATGTCAGGTTGCTTGGACATCTTAAGAGTATGGGAAACTCCCATTTCATGTTTTAATTAAGAACCGATGAGTCAGCAAAGAGATCTCTTCTTTTCGTAAATTGGCTTCAAAGCTGTACAGTTGTTTAGTGGATTTCTACATGCAGTGTAGACTGATCACAGAGGTCAAAGCTAATTGTCAATCAGTAACAAAGAAGATCAAAGTGTGGATGGGTAAGAAATATGTTTGAAAAAGTGACAGTGATCTCGCGTAATCAAGTGGGTTGGCAAGTGACTAGTTAGTTGAGCGATGAATACTCGTTTGGAGACAGTTATTAAGAAAAATAATAGAAGAAATGATTAGAAGTGTGTTGCAAAAGAGAAAGAAAACATCAAGCTTATTACGAAGTAGTAATTCGGGAAAACAAAGAAGGAAGGAAGGAAGGAGAAAAGGAAAGATTAGTACTAAGGCGATGTTAGTAAGTAAGAGGCTGGATGAAATGTTTCCGAACACAAAGTCCAACATACTGCTTAAGAATTTCTAAAGCTTGGGTCGCATGAAGAAGATATTGGCGAAATCCTTTCGAACGACTTGTTTGTCCTATATATGCAACTCTGAAGGAAGTCTTTGTTGATTCTGCACGACGCGAAGTAGTATAATAATATGCTCCGGAATTGAGATGTTGGCTGTTCTAAGCGCTTCTTTTAACAACCATCGACGTGAACACTTACCTGGAGTTGTAGGGCTAAGCTTGTTGTGGAATTTTCTAACTGTCAGGTGATCTCAGTCAATTAATATCTGGATAAAATGTACTGCTGTTGTTCTGCATAGGTAAGGGGGTTATTGAGAGTGTGCAGAGGTGCACGATGCAGCGACCACATTCGTGTGCCTTCAAACATCAACTCTTTTCAGATTGTCTCATCTGATCTCCATGAGTAGAGACACACGAATTGATTGTTGAAATTTAAAGCTCAATTGATTTCGTAAAACTGTGTCAACTACTACACACGGAGACTGACAGTGTAGACCTTGTGAAGCGCGTTCATCTCAAAAAACAAGATAAAGAACCTGTACGAAAGTTGTTGGCGACAACCCTTACAGACAGTTAGGCAACGGTGGGAAGACTAAATTTTGTTACGTTTCTGCGGACACCTCTTGGCAATAAATGTGTAGGTGTCGGCAGGGAAGCGTTTTTTCAAAAATTTCATTCATTTGCTTGCCTCGAGAAGTTTCAATAGAGAAAGAAAGACAAACCAGATTTGCGTTATGCGTTGATCATTTCACTTGATAGACTGATGC